AAACAATAGCTTGGAATCGAGGCGGACAATGTAATCCATTGGAAATAAGTATAGTTTTCCAATGGATTACATTGTCCGCCTCGATTCCAAGCTATTGTTTCGTGTGCACTCAAGCAAATTCGGGAAGTGTCTATTGTCTGAAATTTTGTACAGTAATTAAAATCCCGACACATTTTCCATCTGTTATCTCAAAATATGATTGCAGCTTTTAAATTTTGTGCGCGAGCCATTTTTAGTTTGTTGGAAAAGACACCCCCCCTGGTTCACAGAGTTTGAGAAATTTTTCTCATTATTCTACATTATAAGTACCCAAAGAGGCTATATATATAAAAAACCGGATACAAATAGCTGTTTTGCAAAATTGAGAGCAATTTTAAATCTGTTCAGTTTTTTTTATACACCCTGTATAGGGTTAGAATATTTTCATTTGGTTTATGTTTAATTAATTTAACTAATATTCCATTCAAGATATGTGGAAACTTTCTGGAAGATATAGATGTTTCCTATCTTCCACCATATGATAATATTCTTTCCATTACATATACAAATTATTCATTACCCAATTATATAGTCTCGAAATGAATAAATCTATCAACAATTTAAAATAGTTGAATTATTTTTAGACTCATCAAAGAAAAATCCAAACCGGGGTTTAACACGTTGCACCTGTGGAAAAAATAGCAAGCGGGAACAGGCCGAAGTGGTTCATTGCGTACGAAATGAATCGTCACGTTGTCCGTGTGCTGTTAATGGAGATGTGTGTTCCAGAGAATGCAAATGCAAAGGCTGCCAAAACAAAGAGAAAATAACTACCGTCCAATCAACTTCGAATGTTATAAGTTGCTCTTGTGGTAAAGGAAAAAAGAAATCTGATCCCCTATACAAATCCTGTACGGACGGTGTAAGGAAGTCCAAATGTAGGTGCCTTAAGAATGGTTGGAAATGTACGAGTGCATGCGAGTGTTACAACTGCCATAATCAAACAAAAGAGCTTCCAGTACCAACGCAGAATGATGAAACGAAAAGTGGAAAACGAAAAAGGGTAAATCCGTCACCGTACAAAAGAGCGAAAAGCAAAGAATATTTAAAAAAGGAAATGGGACACGAACCATTGCAAGGATCTTGGACACACTTTGAAACGTTCGTTCTAGTAAGTATTTTGTCTTTGCTTTCGACGTTACCTTTGTCACCATCTATTAACGACATAGCTAAGCTGTACAATTTCATTGCTGACTATGACAAAAAATGGCAGAAAAACGAACACCGAGCAAAGATACGAGCGAAATCAACGGCACAAATGAGTGGGAAAGTATCTAATATTCAAGATATTCAAGAAATAAATGAGTCCTTACAGCAAACTGAATAAAAGATGTTGTAAACCATAAAAGATAAATACAAAACAATAGTAACTCTTAAAACGCATTGAACATTTTGAACATTTTGAAAAGCGTCTATTCAAAAAAATGCATTAAAAACCGTTTCAGAGTTACCATTGTTTCCATTTAATTAAATACTAAGTGATTCATGCAATTAATTACAAATTAGTGATACAATCCATATACAGCTAATAGCCCGTTACCCTTATTGCGTATTCTGAATACAACTACCAGCATGCTTTTCGGACATGTTATTTCATAATGAAGAAAATACCCGCAAAGTATCATGGTAGTTGTATTCAGAATACGTAATAAGGGGCACCAGCTATTCAAAAAAGCTTGCCCTTTGCAAACCTTAAACTCTAAGCGCGCAAAGCTTAATGGGAGCACGAGATGTAATATATGAACAACGAGAGCGAGTGTTTCACCGGGATATCCAAACACGAGAAAACAATGTATATGGCTTCTCAAATGAATCGAGACGTAACAGAATGTTTTCGTTTGCTAATTTGAATATAATTCTTAACCAAGCACAACGTCATTTTGCATGCGTAATTAAGATATTTAATGAAAACACTAGTGACTTTCATCAAGTTTCACCGGGTTATCCAAATGACATCTAGTGTTATCAAATAGGTGATTATCATTGGCTGAATTGCTCATGAATTATTAATGAATTTGAAATTCAACCTTCAAGATTAGTTATTGAATCTTGCATCTATTTGTTAATGAGTTGTTTTCGTAAGGCCACGAGATATTTACCATGTCTCGAAGATATGGGTCCTATATATGATTTCTCATTAACTAAACTGGTTAAATCATGCTCCCATTAAGCTTTGCTCGCTTAGAGTTTAAATTTTAAGGTTTAGAGTTTAAGTACTACCTTTTTTGAATTATCTGCATATGAAATTATTGATATTTTTATTGATTTGTTGGAAATTATACAAGTTCAACCTCAAAAACAATTGCCAAGAAATTGTTATTGTCGCGATATATTTTATATGCTGTATACATAAATTATTGTCTAGATTAACAAAATATTACTCAACGATTAACTGATTTATATACGTTGCTTGGAATTTATTTTTGAAATTTATTTAGTTTTTTAATCAGTTTTATTCACTTAATAATTTGTTTTGATAATACTATTCATATTTTTCCTATTGTGTTATTTTAGTTCAAATACTAGTTACACTATGGGGCCATTCACAAAATATTACGCTTTTTATGCCATTTTCTTTATTACCCCTCCATACATCCTTTGCAAGCAATAGACCCCATCATAAAATACCCGACTCTGAGCCAACCACCCCCCAAAAAACATACCTACAAAACACAAATTTAATACGCAACAACCGCTTCAAAACGTTATCTATAAATCAACACTATTTCAATGCCTTATTAAACCTCAGCCCAAACAGTTTCCCACTCGGGTTTTCTGTTCGTTGTTCAATCAATGTTTGTAAATCGGATAAATGTCTAATGCATGTCAATGCAGTCTAATGCATGCTAAAGCAGTCTAATGCATCCTAATGCATGCTAAAGCATCCTAATGCATGCTAAAGCAGTCTAATGTATGCCAATGCAGTCTAATCATAGACAATCCAGAAGACAGGGACTGGAAACGCCTAATGTTTTGCGCGTGCCATCCGTGATGTGCTTGCGTGGCGCTTGTGCCATCATGCCATGTGAGTGAATGGCCTGTTGCTTCGAAAAACAATAAAACGATAGATTGTGGACCGGTACTTGTCTGCTGTTTTACAGCTCTTTATATGCTGGAAAATTGTTTAAATAATCTACACCGAAAAGGGAGTTAAGTATATCACATTGTGTGTAAAGTTTATAAAACGGATCTGCTTATTCAGAGACGAGTGCAAAGAATTTTCGAGCTTGTTCGAAATTTTGATTTCCAGTTTGGGGTGGACTTTCAGGCACGATTCAGGTTTGGTTGCGTATTGTAGTTTTCTTTAATTAAGTTTACGTATATTTATTCAGTTTTGCTTCACTGTAATTACGTTATATAAATTGATTGAAGTTATCTTTTCGAAGTTTTCCTTGATCTGTATTTTAAAATTTGAATTTGGCAATTTCGGTTTAATTAATATACCTTCCATTTTATTGACAACAAATCCTTTCTTTCTCGAAAACCCTTTTTGCTAAGGCATCCATTATTTAAAAGAAATAAAAACAAGGTTTCAGTTATTTTAACGGTGAGTTTTGTATGTTTAACACTCTTAACTTTCGACAATGCCAACAAGAGTGCCAATGGCAACGACGACTTTTTTGCTGTCAAAAACATTACGCAATCATTAAAAGGTGGTTTTTGCTTTTGTTTGACCCAATATACGTTTAAAAACCGGAGAAATGCATCCACATGTCTATATTTGTTTTAAATATGTAAATTGCAAACCCTGAACTTTATTTAAACTGTAGTTGCAGGGTTCGAAGTTAGCCGGTACAAACTTTGCCGGACAATAACAAATGGCATGCAATGGCGACTTTTTTACAGTGAAAAACATTACGCAAGCATTCAAAGGACGTTTTTGGCTTTGTTTGACCCGATATAAGTTTCAAAACGGGACAAGTGCATCCACAGGTCTATTTTTGTTCAAAATATGTAAATTACAAACTCTGAACTTTATTTAATTAAACTATAGTTACAGGGTTCGAAGTGGGGGCAACAGAAATGGCCATCTTCTAGTTGGCGCAAAAGTAATTTTGGCCGTCAAATTTTCAGTAAACATTTTCGGGCGAATAAGTTACCAAATTGATATAAAAAATAGCCTATTCGATAGATTACAATCTTATGATTACACATACTTTGACCAAAGGGTAAAAAAATAGTCTATTTTTCAGTTGCAGGGTTAGTTTTGCCAGCAAGTTTTCAGAATAACATAACATTGCCAGCTAACGACATTCGTAATTCTGTCAATCAAATTCAGTAAACATTTTTGGGCGAATAAATTACCAAATTGATATAAAAAATAGCCTATTCGATAGATTTCAATATTGTGATTACACATACTTTGACCACAAAATACAAAAATCGTTTATTTTTCAGTTGCAGGGTTAGTTTTGCCAGCGAGTTTTCAGAATAATATGACGATAACAATTGCCGCCGAACAACATTCGTAATTCTGTCAATCAAATTCAGTAAACATTTTTGGCTGAATATGATACATTGTGTCGAAATTTGGTAGCAAAACAATAATAAAAAGGTATGTGAATAATTTATCCGAATATTTAAAAGAAGCTGAGGCACTTAATACTCACCTTCTCGCTCTGGTACATGAAAGTGAGCATGAAGCTGTTTTAATTTGGTATGAAGAACAATAAGAAAGAGTCAATGATGCCAAATTAGAGGCTGAAAGTCATCTTGAGGGGCGCTTACATGAAGTATCCTCAGTCGCAGAAACATTTCCTGGCATGCAAGAAAGTTCGCAAATACCGAACTTAATAAGTTCAAAATCTGTAATGACATGTATTTCAAAATCAAGTGGAAAAGGAGCTGAAGTTCGTGCGAAAGCCTTTGCAGCAGAGTTAAAAGCTAAACAATTTATGGAAGAAGAAGAGAAAAGAAAAAAAGAGTTGGAGAAACAATTAGAACTTGAGAAAAATGTAGCTATGGCTAAAGAAATAGCTGAAAGAGCAAAACGCGAGGCTGAAGAAAGACGAATTGTCCAGCAAGCGAAGGATGAATGGATGCGTCTAAGGGCGGAAGCAGAGATCCTGGAAAATGAAGAGGACAACCCAGAAAGTTTGTCAAACAGACTACGTGACTTTGAAAATAAGCCAAATGATAAAGAACAACCTCCAACAGTACATCAACAAAGTTCAAATCGAAGTTCGGAAGTTCATTTCGAAGTTCGGAAGTTCGTTTAGAAGTTCCCGCCCAACTTCCGAACTTCGAAACGTAATTGGGAACTTGGGAACGAACTTCGCAACCGTAAAAAGTGAACTGAAATCGACGATAAATGGTACTTTGCTGAAATAAAAACGAGGCAAATAAGGCACGAACAATACAAAATAGCCGAGATAATCCAAAACAAACTATGATATAATATTAAATATGACATACCTGCCTTACTGCGTTGATTCTACCTGTTGCGTGATTTCTTTTCGTGATTACGTTCCACACACTGAGCACATCCATTTTCTGATGTCCATCCCATATTTCAGACTATTTCTCAATTTTTTGCTTGCAATCACGTGACTTTTCATCTAACTAATGACGGGCAATCAAACAACTTGTGGACAATTTTCCTCCTACAAGAATAGAGTGGTTGTAGCAAGAACAAATGAACGGTAATTCATCTATTAGTCTTAATAACCTGTCTCTAAACTCTATCAATACATTAAAATGCCGTTTGTTGTTCCATCTGTCCGTCAACTGAAATCCCAAAATTACCTCACTGCGAACAAAGAATATTGCAAAAAAACGGAATAGAGAATTTGAATAAACTTTTAGCCGATATAACGGGAAGTTATTTTAAGAAAGTGTAAGATCTTTGGCTGACTTAGTTAATTAATAAACCTTTTTCACACATGCAGTATTCGCCGATGTTCGCTTTTTTTTGCGAACCAGGGACGTGTGCTGGCTAGGGACGAGCTAACGAGAACTCGTTGTGGGCCCCTGCCATCATGGGTCCCTAAAATTAAAACATTGGAAAAGATAAAAAATATTGAGTTTAATTTTGATATTACAATTTATATTTTAAAACTCTAAATTTACGAAAATATTACGATACATTAATTCGAATTTAATTACTGAAAAATGGTATGTCCGGAAATGTTTTTACTTCTCTCTTCCCTCCCCCCCCTCCCCCACGCCCGCTTGCCAACAACTTTTTTGGGGGGGAGGGGAGATTAATTAGCAACCGAAATGTTTCATGTTTGAATGTTTGAGCAGTAATATAAATACTCCTACACCAATCATGAACCATCCGTCACTGGACCCTATCAGACGTTGCTCATTCGTCGTTGTGAGCTAGCTCTATATACATTATATACTACTCATTTATATGTAGCTAGATTGATTACCCCTGAGGTGCATACAGCCATAAGCATGTTCTAATTGATACTTTATTAGTATCTTTTTCTAATTCTTATGAAGTGCCAATAGTGTAATTTAGTCAACACATGCTATGCTGTATGCATAGACTCAGTTATTAGGTAACTGGTAATTTGCCCGTGGTAAGCCGCGCCGAGCTTAAAAATTTGTCATGTATATATAACATACCACTATATTATTTAGTTGCGTTGTAGAGTAACTTCAGTAATTGTCTTCTGCTCAGGAGAACGTTTATTCTTAGGCTAGATGAATAACAAACTATACTGAAGTTTCTAACCATTAAGCAAGAAACTTTTTAGCATAACTAAAATTATATTTAAAAATTAAATAAAAATTTTATGTATAAAAGTCATTGTATAATAAACGTCGTGAATTTCGTCAAGTTAAACATTATTCTTTTTATACTATAAGCGCTGTACCTATTTTATAAAAAAATGCTCCGAATCAAGGGCGACTCTAGGTCTCCTTTAATTGGGGGGGAGGTATAGTTTTACTGAGTCACTATGTAGGGGGGAGGGGTGTGTGTGTGGGGTGGGGAGGGGGGTGGGGGGTGGGGGGGGAGTAACACCCCCTGAAAACGTCTTTTCGACAAAATAACGGTTTTATTGGCAAATCGTTTCGGTTAGCAGCGAATGTATTAGAGTGGTTCGGATGAAAAGGTAATACTATTAATTAGCAAAAATTTAGCTCAATTCACAAAAATTACGTGGAAAGTTAACAAATTTTGATATGTCCGGAACATTTTTGGGAAGTCGGGATAAATTTTTGGTATATCCGCAAAACATTTTTGTATGTCCGGAATAATTTTTACGTCCGCAAAATTTTTTTTAGCTATCTCTCCCCTTTGAGTTATCCTTTTCGCTACGGCCCTGAACATTTACAAACCTTGGTTAATATTGCATATACGGCGGAGATTATGAAAAATCTACAGTTCTGCAATAAAATTTGTCAGATCTGTCGATTCTCCTTGACTGCTTTTGACTACAAAGATTCTTGGGGTTCAGCTAGGGCAAGCTCCTTCAGCAATATTTTGAAATCAAGAGTCTCTGAAATGGCGCACTCCTCAGTTCTAATTTAGGAAAGATTTCAAATGACTACCTCAACGATTGAAACTGATCCTGACTCACAACAACCGTTTCCCAGCCATGACTGTGGTCACAAACCGATTCGTCTGCTGTTGGGCTGTTTTAAATGTTTAATTACCCGCTACGACTCAATATAGAGAACAAAATATCTAATATTAAGTTGTAGTATTATACAGTACATTGAATTTTACATTTAAATACATGTTTTGTTGTAATCCAGATAATTCAATTCGATAATTTGTTTATATCCTCATCGAAACTGGTAAAGATTTTGCCAAATAAATGCAACAATTTGGCGGCTCGTTGCCTCAAGCGCAGACCGTGTTCCGAATAATAATGCCATCTTATAAAGTCAAGATACGAGCTATTTAAATAGGAGAAAAAATATTTGCTTGACATTATGTACTATTTTATAAATGAGCAGGAGTGTTTTATTAGGTTTAAAGATGCTGTAAACTCCGTAATATAAACAAACGCTTTGTTTATATTTTCAACTGCTATATTTATAAAATATGATATACTAACTGAATATCTAACACTTTTCTGGTTCGCTATGCTTGTAAATGAATATAAACTCGATCCACGTAACAATTCAAAAAAGTTGGAAAGATGCAAAATTTGGGCAATGCTTATATCTGCAGGTCCTCCTTTGTTAGGCAAGAGATGCACACCGATATGCGGAGTTTTCAATCTCGTCTTGATCGAATAGAGCAAGGCCAAAGCAAGGACTACATCGAGGACAACAACGAGGTTGTTCATGACACGGAATTGGCGCCAAAACATGGCGGCCGCAAGCGGAAGCTTAGTGAGGATGAGGACGACGAATCGGTTTTAATAAACAAAGTGTTGTCAAACCCAGCTGACCCAGCTGAAAAACCAGCAGAGAATATACCTGGAGATACGGACAACTTGCTGTCAAATATTGCCCAAGATTTATCCGAACAAGAACCTACGTACGGGTCCTGCAGTGAATGAAGATTTGGCAGCCACACTTAACAAGCGATGGGCTACAAAAATGTCAGTGATAAAAACCTATCCGACAAACTGGAGTTAAATCAACGTCCTGAAAATTATTCAGGTGTGATTGTGCCTCGAGTTAATTCAGAAATTTGGTCAAACCTTGACAAGTTTTATAAGCGCAGGGATCTGCGAACTAGTAATGTTCAGAAGAACCTGGCAAAAGCAGGGAGCTCTTTAATTTATACCACCAATAAGCTCCTTCACTCACGGCAAAATGGCAATCAGGTGGACTCCACCGAATTTATCAAATCAAATATGGAAATTATGGCAATTCTGGGACATGCCTTAGTTGATTTGTCCCATCATCGCAGAGAAGCTATCAAACCAAATCTTAATAAAGAGTTTGCTGCTCTATGTTCAGAGCAGGTACCACCAGTCACTGCAAACCTATTTGGTGACGATTTGCAAATTGAGTGCAATAATATTAAGACCACAAATAAACTTCGCCAGTCGGCCTTGGCCAATAAAGGTCGGGATAATTTTGACAGAAGGCGACCCGCTATGCAGCCATCACTTCAGCGAGTCTCCGCGGAGGCCTTTTTTATCCAAAAGGAAACCATGGCAGAACAACAAGCCATGGTTTCCCAAATCATTCTCACAAAAGCAACGCCAGTAAGATCAAGAGCTGAACGAAATGGACCAAACTCAATTGTTATGGTAAGTTTTCATAAACAATATGTTGCTACTTTAATAAAGGACTTACATCAAAAAGTTAATTGTTTTGAAGCTGTGAGAATTTCTCAGTGCATTGGCGAATGGAGAAAGATTACATCTGACCAAGAAATTTTAGATATGGCCAATGGTTATACCATTGAATTAATAGAGGGACCCCCTCCTCATAATAATCAGTCAAAATATGAATTTAGTTCGTTCGAAAAGAGGTTATTGAGCTTGAAATATCTAAGCTTATTACTAAAAGCGTAATCGTGCCATCATGCCATGAAAAGGGCGAGGTTATATCACCAATTTTGGTGTGCCCCAAAAAGGATGGCACTCATCGCATGATTTTAAATTTAAAGGGTCTTAACACTTATGTGAAATATCATAATTTCAAAATGGGTACCTTGTGGTCAGTTATTAAATTAACGACACCAAACTGCGTTATGGCATCTGTAGACCGAAAAGATGCCCATTACTCAGTACCGGTATCACAATCCAGTCAGAAATTATTGAAATTTATTTGGCAGGGACAATTATACCAATGCACATGCCTTCCCAATGGCCTTTCTAGCTGTCCCCCGAAAGTTTACAAAGCTACTTAAACCTTTTTATACAGTTTTGCGGAAAAGAGTTCATGTTTCTTCAGGCTATATCGATTTGCAGGGCGATACATATGACGATTGTGCCTGTAATGTGGTGGATACAGTTGACCTGTTCTCCACCCTGGGGTTGGTTATACACCCAGATGAATCTGTGTTTGAACCAACACAAATTTTAGAGATTTGGGGTTCCTACTCAACTCTGTTCTTATGAGAATAACTCTAACATTACAGAAAGTAGAAAAAATTATAAGTGCATGTTTAAACAAAAGCAATAGGGTTTCTATTCGTGAGGTTTCTCGTGTAATTGGGCTTCTGGTATCCAGTTTTCCTGGAGTTATGTTTGGCCCTTTGTATTATCCGGCTTTGGAACATGATAAGATCATAGCCCATAAATTATGTAGAGGCAATTTCTATAGTTATGAGGTTATCACCGAGTGCTATTGAAGACCTTTACTGGTGGATAGCATCACTCCCTACTGCCTACAATGAGGTCAGTCATGGATCACCAGATATTGTGATAAATACAGATGCCTCTTTGTCAGGTTGGGGGGATGTGTTGAATGATCTCACTTGTGGAGGTCACTGGTCTCTAGTAGAACAGACTTTTCATATAAATTATTTAGAATTGCTTGCTGTTCTCTATGTATTGCAATCCTTTCAGGGCCATTTGGAGCATAAACATGTAAGGGCCCTTATTGATAATACCACAGCTGTAGCTTTTATTACACATATAGGTACTAGCCATGCTGGTTTATGCAATAGAACTACTAAAACCATTTGGGGATGGTGCATTGCTAAGCATATTTGGATATTAACTGCCCATATACCCAGCGTTGAAAACGTCGGTGCTGACAAAGAGCCAAGTAAATTACGGGATGAAACTGAGTGGATGCTTAACCGCCCAATCTTCAATAGAGTACTTGAGATTCTGAACTTAACACCAGATATTTATTTATTTGCCTCACGGCTTAACCACCAAGCTGAAAGATATGTATCATATCAACCAGACCCTCAGGCGGTTGCTGTAGATGCCTTCTTAATTAATTGGAAAGACTACGATGTATTCTATGCCTTTCCACCTTTTAGTTTAATCACTCAAGTACTTCAAAAAATCCAGAGCCAACAGGTAACCGGTTTATTGATTGTTCCCGATTGGCCAACCCAAATTTGGTATCCCAAATTAATGCGAATGTTGATCAATTATTCACTGTTGATACCCCCACAAGACTTGAAGTTGCTTTATCTCCCTTACAACCCAGCGAAGATACATCAACTTCACAAAACAATGTGGCTGTTGGCATGTTATTTGTCAGGAGATGTCTCAAAGACGAAGGTATTCCAGAGTCAGTTTCCAAGTATATCCACAAGTCATGGAGAACATCTACGCAAAAGCAGTATAGCACTTACCTCAGTCAATGGGAGGTTTTCTGTGATACCCGAGGGATTAATCCAATTTCACATCCTCTCGAAAGTGCCTTAGAATTTTTAGCACGACCGGCAGATCGCAGTCTTGGTTATAGTGTAGTTAATACCGCTTGGAGTGCCCTATCAGCGGTGCTGGTATTACCTAATGGAACTGTTTTTGGACAACATCTTTATGTCAAAAAGCTGTTGAAAGGTGTATTTGAAACTAAACCACTCTTCCTCGTTATACCTGCATTTGGGACGTTGAAATTGTGCTTACTCTTTCCCGACAGGTCCCTATTAAGTAAATCACTCATGATTTACGACTTTGCAGGGTCATATCGTCAGTTCGGTGCATGCTATGTAGATGAAAATACCACCATTGGATTCAGTGAAACAATATCTCCTATACCTGTCGATAGTTTTAGTCAAATATAATTTTAGTGAAATTGTATAACAATTTATGACCTTTCGACAGGTCAAGCGGTGTCATATTTCATTATATTAATCAATTGTCTCGAACAATGTAAACTATCAATAACTTTTGCCGAACATAACTTCGGCCCCTTTTGAGATATCGTTTTCGCTATAGTCTTATTCGAAACAGAATCAAAAACACTATTGAAAGTGTTATTTTCAAGCTTGTAGCCTTAGTTTTTGTGGTTAGCCCGTTCGCGGGCTAACCATTATGTACACGCTAAAAAAAGTTGTGAAGGTTGTGAAGTTGTGACGGAGCGTGTTCGGCTTTACTTCGGAAACTGTCGTTAATGCCATGATGCGATAATAAATATTGATACAGTACACAGATATTCTGATATAGTGATACAGTATTAAATGTACAGTCAACAGATCTGCGAATAAAACATCAATATTTCATCACAAATACAGGTAAGCCAATTATTTTCCATCTCTAGTCATTTATAATGCTAAAAACATCACAAATTTGGTCTGCTCTGGTCAAAAATATTTGGTCAGGCTCCATATTTTTGCACACATTCAAATAGTTGAACGAAGCCATTGTTGCTTGCACTGATCATAGATCAGGCGCTTACGGCATGAGGGCCCACGTATTAAATAGAAGCTGAATAGAAACTGAAATATCAAATCAAATCAAACTTGCCATTGTGCAGTTAAACAAAACCAACCTTGTCATATTTGTGCAGGTATATTGTAAAGAGCAAACCCAGTTTGGGGATTCATATGCTACAAACTGACCTGTCAACTTGCAGGTGAACGATTTACAAACCGCAACACAAAACAACATTGACTGTTGAACTTGACTGAAAAATATGAGTGTAGCGATTGAGATCAATCGTTCAAGAATTGGTTCACACCATAAATTTACACAAGGAATTTACATTCTGGAGTCAAATGTTGATGATGTTCTGTTTAAAAGTATTTTACTTGTCATGTTTTAAAAATCTAGTGACTAAAACAGAAAAATATAATGAAGTGTGCATGTGGTATGCGCAGATGGTATGTTATCATGTTCATGTACCATTGCTATTAAGACTTTCAAAGAAATATTAATGAAATAGTTGACCGTACTTGTACAGTTCATGCCGACTTTCACCAAGGTGATCAATTAACGTTTAGATCTAATGCTGGAAAACAATGTGTTGCCATGTTACTATATTCTATTGTTTATAACGAAATTAAATCAGTTAATATTTGGGACACATCCACCATAGGCGTCGAAAGATAGCTAAGTGTAAATAAGAATGCATCTATTTCTTTCAGATAACAAACATAATAACATGTATTTGCTCTATAAATGTTCATAAACCTCCATGAATGATGGAGAAGTACAGCAATGTACTTTATGTTATTCCAATGAAGTGTCTCGCTATAATAATGTTAATAAACTATTCTCTATCTCCCCCCAAGTCTTTAATGATTGAGAGGGAGCAATGTCATTAAATACTTTAACTAAAACAACATGAACCGTGCATTTATATGATAACAAGCTTAGTTCACTCTTCCTGGAGTCCTTTTTTGTTGTAATCCTGTAAACGTCGTAAAGCTAGAGGTAGCTTCTTGGGTGTGCTAGGGTTTTCAGGTTTTCTAGGGGTTTGCTCCAGTGTGATGTGGTTTGGTGTAGATGGCATTGATGTGGACTGGGGTGTGGGAGGTGTAGGGCTAGGGATGTTTGGTGGCTCTGTTGGTGGGGTGTGCAATGTTGGTTGAGAAGCTTTGGTCTGTGGGGTTGGTAGATACCGTAAATCCTCAGTGATAGTATGTCGGGGTTGTCGCTGTTGAACTGGAATGAATTTGCGTAGGAATTTACGATTGCGGAGTGTCACACGGCCTGACCCGTCCACACGGATTGCATACTGGTCGAATTGACGGACTTCAATCACTAAGCCTGTTTTATCCCATTTTTTTGGGTGGGGGCCAATTTGGTTCTGTATTCGGACTTGGTCCCCAACTTTCAGTGGTGTGAGTCGGCGTGTGTGCTCGGACAGCCATTCAGTGGTTCGCATATGACGGTTGCGAAGTGCTTGTTCGCGGGTCATAAGGGTATCTTTCCAGGTAGGGTGGGGTTGGTAACGCCCAGGGGCAATAGGGATGAAATCTTTGATAGGTCTTCCGAAGATGCATTCTGCTGGTGACAGTTTTGTGGTGGGATCGGGTGTATTTCGGTACTGGAGGATAGCAATTTGTAAGGTGTCGGTGTCAAGGGTACCGTTAGGGCCAGTGTTGTTGGTTATTAAGCGCTTAACTGTTTTGACACCAACCTCGGCGCGGCAGTTTGAGTGAGGGTAGGCGACGGATGACAGGCGATGATGGACTCCCCAGGATGTGAGGAAATCTTGTGTTGATGTGGCAGTAAATTCAGGTCCGCCGTCGGTTGCTAGCTTATCTGGAATTCCAAATGTGACAAAGATACGTCGTAAGCAGTGGATTAATCCAGTTGCACCGTCTTTGCAACGCTCTATTATGGGCCAGTTGGAGTACCGATCTATGACCACGAGGTAATTGACTCCTTGGTAATGGAAGTAATTGAGGTGATGCCTTGGTGAGCCGAATGGAGGATGGATAGGATGTGACTTCTTAGGGATGAGGGTATGACAATGCGAGCTTTGTATAGGATAACCCCATCGATGGCATAGAGGTGTTCACGAAATTGGAAAAATTCCTGTAAATCAGGGGGGAGTTCGTGGCGAAACTCGGGGAAGCCTGCTGTAATGGTTGAAAGGAGCTTCTCCATTGTTGTGTCGCTCGCTGTTGCTGTTTTGACGCGGTCCCATGTTACGGCCATGGAGTGGGTTGATTTGATGGCAGATGACAGCAGTTGCTTTTCAATGGTGGCAGTGATTGAGTATGTGTCGGGTTCAAGGGTGCGGATGCCAGCTAGGACGGGGTTGCTCAACATGGGTGGGGGGGAATTGGCATTGATGTCGGCCACGTCATCGGGGATGGGCATGGCTTCGGGGTTGGTGGTGCCAGATGGATGGCGTGAGAGTGCGTCGGCAGCTTTGTGTTTGATGCCTGGGATATGGACCATGCGGAAGCGGTATCGAAGCGTCTTTTCTTTGAGATTGCGAAGGCGGATGTTGGAAATGTCTTCAAGACATCGATCACCAAAGACTTTAAGGAGGGGTTTGTGGTCAACAGCTATGATAAGGTTGTCACAGCCCAGTACAAAGAAGCGGGCTTTGTCGAGTGCGTCTACCACTGCAAGGGCCTCGCCTTCAATGGGAGCATATCTGGATTCGGCGGTGTGGGTAAAACGGCTTCCGACCAGGGTAACTTTCCAGCCAGTTTTACAGCAGAAAGGCCTCTCAGCAGGGCAGTCGCAGTGTTTCTGAAATAGCCAAAAGCCTATCCCATCTTTCGACCAATCAGTAGCGAGACAGGTGGGCTTGGACTTATCGAAGATCTGTACACCGTGTTCGATTTCGTTAACGATCACCTTCTTCGATTCTTCGAAGAGTTGATTTAGCTCTTCTGTCCATGTGAATTGTGAGCCAGGTTTGAGTGATTCGCGAAAGGGTAGCATTCGGTCTGCGGCAGCAAATGCATAGGAGACCTGGTTTATTAGGCCAAACCAAGAGCGCATGTCAGTGACGTTGGCCGGTCGTGGAAAGTTGAGGATGGCAGCAAGGTATTTCTGGCATGGGCGGACATGGTTGGGGGTGATAGCAAAGCCAGCAAACTCGACTGTGTCCTGTCCAAATACGAATTTTTCGGGGTTCAGGATTATGCCATTGTGTCCACAAGTGTCAAGCCAATCTACTGCCTGGAAAAACTGCCTTCGATGTTGTCAGCCCAGAGAAGTGCATCATCAATACATTTCGTTTTGTCTGGAATATCCGAGACAATCTCGTCGAAACGTCGCGAGAAGCCATCACCAGATGCAATGTACCCTTGGGGGGCAGTCTTGTAGCGAAATCGGCCCCATGGAGTTATAAAGGTGGTAAGATGGCGGTCGTCAGGGTGTATAGCAACACTATGGTAGCCATTCCAACAGTCGAAGATGGGTTTTTTCTTGTTGGTAGGCACAGATCTAGCCTGGTGGAACGGGCTTTGGGTGTGGTGGGTTTCGCAGGTGGCATGTAGGTTTAAGTCTTGGAGGTCAACTGTCCTGCGAGGCTGGCCATTCTTCTTAGCGCAAACGACCATTCGATGACACCAGGTGACGGGTTCGCCAATTGGTACTGGCTCAAGGACGCCCAATGCCACATCGCGGTCAAGACCAGCTCTTGCCAGTGTAGTGGTACTGGTATAGGGGTATGGTGTGCTATCGGGGTGGCATCTGGGTTGACCATAAGCCGCATTGGTGGACCGTGCATAAGTGGGAGGGGCTGATGTTCGCATATATTGAAGGTACTGGCAGCATAGTAGTCAAGGAGCCACTGTTGGAGGTGTGCTCGATTAGCATTGTTGGCAGGGAAGGGTGGTTGTGTAGGTCGAGGCGGTGGTTTCTGGCGCAGTGGACAGTTGCATGGTGCTGTGAGTGCACTTTGTGGTGTTTGCTTTGGGGTGGTGTTGGTGTTTCCTGGTGACGCGTCAGATAGTGGTAAGGTGGTTAAAGGTGATGCTTCACCGACAGTGGGAAATGTTTCAGAAATCATACCAAGGGCTACACATGCTTCCCTGCTGAGGAATAATCTTTCAGAGTCACTGGTCACGTAGGTTATTTGCCGGGTTTCCAGTGTTGCACCAGACTTCGACCTGCCGGAGAAGCGTAGGATGGTTGCTCCAAGTATATTGATCCCTTTGTTGTTAGCTGCTACCATGCGCATAGTGACAGGGATGAGATCTTTTTGTTGGAGGCCAAAGCGTTCAATGATCTTCATGCTGGCCAGGCAGCTCTGGCAGCCAGTGTCAGCCATGACAGGTATTTGGAGTCGCCTGCGGGGGATTTCTGGAGGAGTCATGCCAAAGGTCTTGTAG